ACGCATACTGTTTAAAAGACTTCTGTGAGCCAACCTGCAAATAAAGTCATGTCTAATTTGGAGTGTACAGCAGATTTCATCATAGGTATACCCGCCCTCAAAATAATGTTGAATCAGTTCGTCTCTAATGAAAAGTATTGGGAATCAAACATTGTAAATAATCTATTATTTACATTCTGTTCTGTGGGATATCGCGCAGGGACAGACAGAAATGTCACATAGGCTATAGCCCTAAAAGCTGGCTGTTAACGAGTAAAGTTACGTCTAGAGTAATTAAGTTATCGAGAAAAACAATCTACCGTAACAAAAGTCTATTTTGTTGATTTATTTATGTGACTAAAATGGTGTTATTTCATAAACACGTTACTTAGCCGATGTCAGGATATTATTTCTTCTTTCAATTGGAGTTTGGCGCAACTGCCAAAAACGAATAGGCCTACATGTATATCTTCTAGTTCTATTGCTAAAATGAGAGTCAGGCATGGTGGATGGATCGAACAAGGACATCTACGTGTGAAACGATCAAGGGTCAAAGTTAAAAATACCACTGCGCAATCGTGACACAAAAACACCATAGGTGACGCACGATGGGTGACGGGCAAAGCACGACGGACGACGCACGACGGACGGCGCACGACGGCAGATATGGAATTCCTTACTGTTAGGGCATGTTGCCAGGTAAACGCGTGGTACTAATGTTACATGCGCATGCATGGAATCCATGACAAATGACACCATTATGTGTACGTGCTATAGGTTGCCCATCGACAGTCTTGACTGCTAATCCTTTGCATGTCTAGCGTAATACTAAAATATTCAACTGGTCTTTTTATTATGTTTAATAAAGGGTCTTTCTTGGTTACGCCCTACAAAACATTTCGGCGATTTTTCTTGGTTTGGACATTTCGTGTCAGACAAACCTTGACCATCCGTTTGTGAGACGGATCCAGGGAGCATTCAGCCCTTCTTTGTTCACACTGATCCCGAGTAAGTTCGTAGTTTTTTAAAATTTTGTTTTATTTTAGTTGTATTATTATTATTATTATTATTTTATACACATATGTGTATATTAAACCCAGTATACTTTATGGGACAACTGTGGAACACATAACAAAATACAAACCAAAACACAAAACTAATGTCCAGAAGGTAAATAATGAAGTGTGCCACGAGTAAAAATGAAAAAGAAAGAAAAAAATTACAACAACAAAGATATTGAAAATGAGAGTTGGTGAGTGTACTACCAGTTACAGCTACATTTAAGGTCAATGTCATTAAACCAGGTTCTGTTATAGGAATTACTTCACCATCACTTAAATGTGGCATTATCTTGATTTCTTTGAATCAGTCGATTTTCCAAGCGAAACAAAAACATATTACATGGGCGTCGATCGGTGGGGAACACTGGATACGCCCGCCGCCCACAAGTTTAAAGTGAGGGGATATCTTTTGTTCCCTCCACTGTATTCCGGAGCCGTCGAACTTACTTTTACAAATGCTCAGTTCTGCACTAAAGATTCCTGGTATGGGTGACTGGTAGATACACTGACCATATCGAGTTAACGCCTGTCTGTTTTCAGTGTATCTAGACGCCTTCGTTTGATTCCAGCTCATTTGCCTCATAATTGAAGAGCAGCGTGTTGCGTGTGTAGCTGCTCCAAAATGAGGGCGGCACGTCAGTGGTGGCTACATGTCAAAGAGTTAACAATGAGTATAAAGAAAACCATTAGGGTGTACAGGGTGTGCAAAAGAAGTCCACATAATTCAGGGTACGATGGCCTGGGCCTCAGATGTGCGTAATACACGACCCGATGATGACAACATCGGGCAATAAATTACGATTGGTTTTATTGCAAAATTAACTAATATCTTTCAGCTATGTCTTATAAACCCAAATTATAGTTTTGGTATTTCTATGCAGAAATATTCTGAGCGGGGCAACGTTTCCCTTTTGCTGTGATTACCGAGAGGTCAAAGTTGGGCGAGTAGTAAATGTCCTTAGCACCCGTATTTACATATTTAACCGTACTTCTCTGTCTTCCAGACTGTTCGTGGTACAAACGTGACACCCAGTACAACCCTTAAACGTTGATGCTAAAATGAGGCATATTTTTGGACACTTCAATTTGACGTCAACCAAATATCAAATTAGAAGGGAACTGAATAAGAAGCCCAGTTAATATTTTGTTGTCTAGTTGACCAAAACGAGTTTAACATTTTCAACTGGAGATATAAAATTGGACGTGCAATAAGTGGATATGCCTATAACCTAAAATAAAAGCATTTCAGATATCCAACGAAAATACATGCATGTGTTGAGAGTTGAAAGAATGTCAAAAATAATACCATTAGGAATGATGAAAGGGTGCCTTTTTTGCCAATCAACCAAGCAAAGTTCCCTTTTTTAATTCGCTGGTCAAACTTTATTTGAATGTTTTTATATGAATAACACCCAGGGTTCCTTCAACGTGCACAGGCAGAGTGGTCCGAGGAAACGTAGAGAGACAAGACAACGAAGTCAGTTTTAATGTTGGGCGATGATACCACCATGAAATACAAGGGAAACGTGTGGGATCAGATCTGGACTGAAAACCCAATCTACATACCGACTAAGTAGATAATCAGCTCTCTCCCATTTACTTGATATCGTGGACTTAAATCCCGGGGAATGGGGTATCAATTAATTGGCAACCAGATAAAACAAAATCCCCCTCTCCATCTTGGTGTGGCCAGTTGATGTTGCCTCAATGTTTCCTGTTTGTTTTTGGTATTTTTCTTCTTCTATATCTTTCCCTCTAAATCTTCTGTTCAACCTTTAGTACTCTTTCCGTGGCTGGGCCCACTTTTTGAACTGATGGGAGCCAATATCATCCCCAAGGAGTCTGTTGCATTCTTCAAAAAAGTTATCCATCAGTCTCTTGAAGGAGGAGACATGATTCGACAGTGTGGGGGAGGCAACGGTCTCAACAAGGTTAGCACAACCAAAATATAATGGGAAGTTACTCCAGCGTCAGAACCCAACACGATATTTTCATTATTGGACCCTGGCCTCCGCATAGACATATTATGCTTTGTATTTGAGGTAACGGCAGACTCGTGTCCAGTGCTACATATCTGTCAGTGAGCTGCCTAAAACGTGATGCCACTAGCTCCCCAATCTGAATTCCTTAATTACCATTTTAACAGTGGTGTATTTTTTAGAGATTGAGCAAGTGGCTGCCTCATAGTCCTGTTGAATTTCTATTTTGAAGACTGGAAAGCGACACAATTTTACAAGCAGTATTACCACCTTCCTTGAAGGGGATGAAACTTTTTGACAGGAGCGAACTTTTTGCTCTAAACAAAATTGACAGCACAAGAGAGTTGTTGGGCACTTTTAATGAAGAAAACTGGCAACTTTAAGGGCTACCTTTTCCAGTTAAATACGTCAGAGCCTTCTCAGCGGGGTCTCAGTTTGAAATTTTTAGTATTTTTCTGGTACTTCAGAAAGTACCATTCATATTTGCAAAACAGGCTATCGCACCAGTTTTATTTAACGTACAGTACACCGCCATTGTTGAAGAACTTTACCGACACACAGACCTTCCAGCCAACCTTCCAATTCCCGAGGAGACTGGTAAACCGAAGAGACTCACCTATGAGGAGTTTTTTGCCGCGGTAAGTCATCACGTTCACTATAAAAGGGTAAAATATTACTGATAGGAACTATATCTCTTAATCTAAAGGGAGAGGCTAGCTGTACAAGTCCTGTAGCAAGTAATTGTTCCAAATGAACCATTCTGCAAACAAACCTCATACCTGAGCATTGAACGGGAGAAGAATTGAATGTTTTTCCAAGGAGGCAGTGTGTGCAAAACTTGTGATATTATCAGTTATATATTTCTCTCATGGAGGTTGGTGAGGTTCCAAAATGACTCATTAAAAAGTCCAAAGGAATCTAGTATACCTAGAAATTGCAACTCTTGTATTTCCAACAAAATAAAACTAAGGGGTAGCTTAGCTCTAAATTTAGTTTGATGTTTGACAGAGATCCAATTCAAAGGAAAATTCGAGTGAAAACTCGATATTGTTGTGTACATTCATATGCAAATGTAACTCAATCTTGTTTTATCCCTAGTTTGAAGGATTGTAATCTTTGCACCTCAAAATTGAGAGAGTGAGTTGTATGGTTTGGTCGTTTTTTAAATAAAAAATGTACATAATTTTAAATGTAGGTTACTTCAAGTGTAAAACCACCTGGGACTGCTGAATAACCCTTGAATAAATCACTTGAAAGAAAGGTAATCACAACCTCTATAAAAAAACATTCCACCCCGAGGACTGTTATCTTCGAGAAAACTGAATTTCTGTTCTTTTCTTAACATTTGTCAGCGAGCCATCGTTTAGTAATTCGTTTCGTTTTAAAAGACCGTATCTGTTAACGGGGGCCGATTTTTGTTGATGTGTACTGATATTCTATAGGAGTCGGATTAAACAAGTAATACTGAAACCAACAAAACACACTCGCGGAAATTTACATAACGCATTTTCAACTGAAACAAAAGTAATATAAGTTTGAGATATAAATAAGAGAGCGAGTGGATCAGTTCATTGCCTTTATGAAAAGGGGCGTGTTAATGTAAATGTTCTGATCTCATGTTTAATCTCGAAGCATAATGGTATGGTCTAAACTCGTTCCGCGTCCGAGCTGAACATCGAGTGGATTTCCATCAACAAAAAATAAGATTTCCAGAAGTTCACCCTTCTGGGTTTCCAGAGATGACTTGATCTAGTCCATAATTATAGTCAACTGAGAATAATTAGACATGCATATACTTATTTTGTCATGGACACGGGCCCATCCTCTGCAGTAACTTCACTGCTTGATAATGAAGTGCCACACAGTGAGAGGCATATTACTCCAAGGTTAATTTAGTGCTTGCTTTTGGCCGTAGAAGACTGCTCTTTTTGGAGGGCAAAACACCTGTCATGCTTGCTCGTTTAGATTACCCTGTCGTTCATGTATTTTGTACCAAATAAAGAGCAAGATCTCCAATTAAAAAAAAAACCGCCTTGATTTACTCGCTTTTTTCTCAAAGCAGTTAACCAAAAACCAGCTAACCAGGCATTGGAATAAAATTTCAGTACATGTCCTACAGCTACTGATGTAGCTTCCCTCTTAAAGAGAAAGGGTTGGGATAGCACACCAGTGAGCGCCTGCCTCTCTTTCCACCAGTGTGTTCTTCAGCTTACTGCAAATAACGAAGCAACATCCACGATCCTGACATGCACCGCCTATCAGCTTGCTCTGAGCCCAGAAGTCCAGGACAAACTGATTGAAGAGATCGATAGGAATGCTCCTAACCCCGAAGACATTAACTACGACACAATGAGCAAAATGAAATATACGGAGATGGTGATATACGAGTGTTTTCGTCTGTACCCCCCCGTCGTGTCGTAAGTTCTCTTCCCTTCATTAGAAGCTTGGAGCGGTACTTACAGTCTGTTAATGGTGGATTGACTGAAAGACCATTCTCATATTGCCTACGTGTATATGTGTAGGCAACTAGTGCTTCGAGAAATGTTTCCCTTGGTGTCGGATTTTACTTCAAAGTAGACATTTACTCCATTTCTTGAAAAATGAATAGTCTTATTTTCATTGAACATGTTTTGATGTATAATGTTTTTATTTCGTATATTGACGTTACATAAGAAAATTAGTCATTCGTTTGCCTTTGTGGTGACAGCCAGCCATAGGGAGGAACAATGCACCGGACGTTTTTGCATCACGTTAAAACTAATCCTATATTCATTTCACTGGTCCCAAACAGTCATATGTCTTGAAGCCCACAACAACATATTTTCCTTCAAGTGAACACTTTACGACAAAACAGCTTATATAAATACAGCATTTAAATACAGCATATGCATAAATGCACCAAAGGCTCAGTAGTTCACATTTTCCAGCAATAAGCCATGCTGTATTTGTTTTACTACATCTCATACAAATATTCATAAGCAAATTTTAAAAAATAAAAAATCTGAGGCCAACATACAATTTGATTTTCAGCAGCAGAACTCTGCGAGTCAGGGCAAGGACTGCAGCAGACTGGTTCAGTTAAGCTTTCATACCGCACATTACATGTCAGTGAAGCGGGCTCAAGCACGGTATAGAAAACTATACCGTGCGGTGGCGAGCTGGATACCCACCGAGATGACGTCGCTTGGGTGTCATATTTACTTCCCAGATGAAATCGACCAATGATGCGTTCCAATCTGCTCATTAACTGGTGTTTATTGGCTGTGGTAATGTTAAAACGAAACCTTGTGAAGCAAATTGCCAAATTGCCTAAAGGCCGTAACAGGGTTCAATGTGAGGTATGTTCATGAAAAGACACGACCATGGAGTGGTTCGTTACTCCTCCCAAGTGTCTTGGCCGACGCTTGACATCCGTCTTTTAAGCAGTCACAATATTGACCTGTGCTTTGATCTGACAGAACCGACCGCGAATGTTTGGAGACTGTGACGTATGGCAAGTACACTCTGCCGAAGGGACTGGTGGTCCATATCCCGGCTTATTCGGTGCAACATGACGAAGACGTTTGGCCAGATCCAGAGAAATTCCATCCAGAGAGGTAACACTCGAGTACTATAAGTCCATGTAATAATTAAGATAGATAGTTCATACACACGGTGCCACGTCAGGCTCAGACAGGTTTCCAGACGCCATAACTATCTGCCCAACCTTTAGGTGACGGTTTCGTGTTCACCACAAGCACGGGAAGGGTTGAGATGGATGCACGCGTTTAAAAGAAATTTATTGAAATAGGCCCAAATTTCAAATCCCAGGTTTAGCCCTGAAAATAAGGCTTCCATCGAACCGGTGGCATGGCTTCCCTTTGGCGGTGGTCCTCGGATCTGTGTCGCCGTCAAATTCATCACAATCCTGATAAAGGTCGTCTTGACTCGAATCCTGCAGAAGTACCGCTTCGAAACCTGCTCCGAGACACCGGTGAGTTGAATTATTTGCCTTTATGCATGCTGCTGGCATTAATTTCTGACTGTCGTTCGATACGGGCAGTCGTCCGTGGAGACCGCCGGTCGCAAAGGGGAACAAGCCCTTCAGCCCCACAGGTGTACAAGGGTACACGCAGGTAAGTACATCTGGGTAAACTGTTTGTGGTTTTTGCACTCATCTTCCGTATGACTCGTCTTAATACATCGTCACCGTCGTCACGAAGAGCCAAACAGGTAGATTTTGAAGAAAAACTGTTTTCGAGAAATCATCCAAGGAACCTTTCCTCTTTAAAACCTGCAAAAATACAAATATGTAATAATGATTTTATGCATTTAAAAAACTCAAATGCCTCTTTGAAAGATAAACTTTTGCCTACACCAGTTAATAAAATGAACACAGTGTTTAATGAGCCAAAATCAATTAGTGAAGATGCACGCCCGTTCGTAAAGTCGAAAATCCGCGTTTTCCTACTTTCTCCCCTTCTGCGCAATGGATTTTCTCATAGGGAAGGGGCACACGTGCTCACGTAGCAAAGACGTGTGGCTCTTCTTGAAAACAAAAATCTTACTTGACCTACTTTTCGGCCTTTCTAGTCCATAAATTTAGTACCTGTGCGAAGGGTAGTAAGATTTTTGTCTCTCCTTAAAACGCAAAATGCACTTATCGAGATATTTTCCCAAAACAACATGAATGTAATCAAAATCGAAACAAATGCTACTTTCAACAAGTGTAGCTCTTTCTAAAAGCGGTGACGATATGACACTACGTTCTCTAGATGATTTACAAGTTTCCGCTTTTCCGAAAGAAGGGAAGCCCTCATAGATACAGCAACTGAAGAGTGAACACATTTACAATTTTCAGTGTCACTCCTCGAACCTCCACAAGAAATGGAACAGAGGGTCTCTCTCGGAACAAGGAATCGTTTTTCAGTCTATTTCATGGACCCTACGTCCCTATGTAGGCCTGTAGTTTGCTAGGGTTGGTGAGAGATGATGACGTGGGATCCCAGCACAACGCCACTGGGGCTGTGCCTGGTATTCCAAGCTTTGAGAAAAAGGCAAACTTTGAAGCCGAATATTTCTTGGTAAAGAGACCAAACAAGCCACACTCTAAAGGGGCCACTATGAAAATACGACCCCACCCCACCTTGGCCTGCATGCCAACTGGACCAAGTCGCCTTAATTAAAACAAGCTTTCTGTTTCCACACAGATCCCTCTGACGATGAAGAAGATGACTATGCTGGAACCTCAAGATGTCTACGTACGTGTGGTGCCAAAAGAAGGCTAATTATGTCTTGCACCCAACATTGATTTCTTTAAAAGACCAACTGTTTGTATTGAAAAACCTGGAGCTAAGGTTGCCAAAATTCCATGTGATACACATTGCTCCTGAATAGTTCGTAGATTAAATTCCACGAAAGGGATGTAGGTTGGCATGTATCTTGGTTCATTACAGATATTTTGGCATTATTTCGAATCATAAAGCCAAATGTAACGGGTCTTCCAGATACAAGCATCGATTTTAGTGCGGCTGAGACTACTACTACTATTATTGCTATTGATCTTTGTTATCCTTTTAACTACATGTGTTACCATTTTTTATGGGGGAGGTTCTTTTCTGTTCTGTGAGGCATATCAATAGGTTTTTGTTGCTTTTTTAATGCAATTTTGTAGTTAATTTCTTCTAGTCTTGGTCTTGTGATTTTTATCGGTGAGCTTTTACTTTTTCTGCTGTTCTGTGATGCATGGCCACATTTACATTTGATATTTTCATTTTTTTTAGTTATTCTTTTTGTGATTGCAACGCTGGCTGATTGTAAAGCGCCTACGAGCATTGATTTTAAATGGATTAGGCGCTATATAAATCAACATTACTATTGTTTTCATTACAACTTCTACCGGTATTATTAACAACAACAATAATAATATTAAAATAAGAGCATTTGTAAAGCGCCAGTATCCACGACAAAGGCGCTCATGGCTCTGGTATTAACATTATCCCTGCAAATTGGGCTCACACATCATCTGAACAGTCATCAAACTATCTCAGCTCCCTGGGGAGTATACTGGCCCGGTGCTGCCATTTCGGCGCAAACGGCTAAACATTACTGTGTCTGCCCTTACAGATAACCATTTGCTCCTGGGTGGAGAGAGGCACATAGGAGTCAGGTGACTTGCAAAATTAAATAATTCCTATTAGATAGAGGAAAATGCGAAGATTTTTCTTTGATACAATTTCCACACATACATATTCTTCGATTTGAAGAGGTGCACAGATTACTGCACACACATGTAGCCCCCCCCCCAACCACCACCATTGGTCACGTTGGAAATTTACCCTCTGCTTATCTGCAAGGTTAAGCGTGGCATAAGGTCACTAACAGTTCAAAATGATCGTGTAAGCAGATTATGCACCAAGACATAGTGGACGCTATCTGACCGCTTTTATGAAGAGCCACACGTGTCAAAAGTGATTTTTTCCGATTTCAATATCATATACACGGTGTCCACATAAAAGGTATACCGAGATAAAAAATACTGTAGGGCGAAACTACTTCATGTAATTATGGGGAAGAGAAATATATCTCCCGAAAGGGCAAAACGCCCTCCTCGCAATGGTAAACAGCTCGTGATGCTATGGACACAGATGATTGAACAAACTAGACTGATGTTGAAGATGCTGAAATCGGCACTGTGATATGTTTGCATATTTGAAGGCGCAACCATGGCCGCCACCTCCGGTGGATTTGACAGCATGCAATTTTTTTTTATGGGGTGCAGAAGAGCAGAACAAAATTTTCAGTGCACCCCTAGCCAATGTTCAGGAGTTACGTGCAAGAGTGATGGAAGAAGTCAATATTCCCCATCAAGACCCTGAAATGATCATTCAAGCAGTAAGGGACATTGTTGGGTATTTCCCAAACTGTTTGTCTCTTCTGTCTACAATAAATATATTTACCACCCAACAACAAAAGGAAACACCAGAGAATTTCTACTTAGTTCTCAAAAGTCTACGTGTATTTACATAAATTTACACGTATTTACTCTATCTCGTCAGTGGGTAATTTTCATCCGATTAAAGAAAATAATTAGTCTTCACTTTCTCATTTGTCATGTCACCTGCAGGCAATTATTAAGGATTAAAGACCTCATTCAGGATTAGTATTAAGCTGTCTTTATTACAATTTTAGGTTATGTAATTCTCTGTAGTAAGGCATCTGGATGCAATAAGGATATAGGGACCGCGTTAGAATCTGGCACGATCCTTGGAAACACTACAGCCTCCGGGTGTCCTACGGCCTCTTTGGTGAACTCTGGGTTGGGTCCTCTTTGGTATGTGTACCTTGAGCCCCACAAAATCTCTGTATCTTGGGTTTGGTCCCTCAACTTCAAACCATCTGGTAGTTAAAAGCATTTAAATTAACCATACTCCACATGACAAATTTTGTTCAAATGTTTGGTAATTATCAAAAGAACACTTTATGTTCAATACTTCCTTTTTATAGCTCCTCTTATTAACTCAGTAAATTCAAATGTCGGTGTACAGTTATAGTCCAATAATCGACAGTCCACAGTTTAACCTTCTGCATCATTAAAACTGACAATTTCTTAAATCAATCCACTTTTGTTAAGCCCATAAATTCAGTGTTTCAAACTCTTATAACATCAGATAAATTCAAAATTAACACTTACGGTTGTTGGGATGACAGAACTGCTGAATTTCTTTCTTTGGTGTTTTTTACAGAGTCAAAATGCTCACAAGATATCTTGATAAATCAAGCACTTATTTTGAAGTGCAGTCTTTTGACAGATCACTGAAAACATAGCCCGCTGTAGTTTGCTACGCCTGGTGGCTGAGACTTAAGCGATCATTAAGTAAACACGTACGTCTGTCTTCTATCGAGATCTGATATGGTCTAAACCCCGATTCATCCAACGCCCTCACACATCCAAATCACATTTTTTTTCCCTTCCAGTTGGCAAAACAACTCCTTAGCAACTTTTGTACAGCACCTGGATTTGTAATTTTATTTTGTGTTACCACCCTTAATTTTCCCATCCAGGACTTTTATCAATACTGCTGCGAGAGACAAAACAAACCACAAGACTACCAGATAACTAAAGACTACCCAAAACGCTGCTGGCTACATGGACTATTACATGTACATGACGCAAATCTGGAGTAACAAACGCTAGTTCCGAAATGATGCTTTACCATTTCCCCCAAAGGAGATATACAACATACTTTTACAGACATGTTACGAAGATGTCATAGGTACATTGACGGGAATGGCGGCCATGTGGAGAGCACAGCACGTTAAACTTTTGAGGTATGTAGCAAAAAAACAAAGCAGATTATATCCATCGAGGTACATTCCTTGATTTTTAAGACTGTATTCTTAAATAAAACAAATGCATTTGGTATTCTGCACGCTTGAAAACGGTGACGACTAAATGGCATTATATTCTTATAGCAACAGTTTGGGAATACACCATGTTCTCTCCAATGGGAAATGGTTCTGTTGCCAGTCTTGAATGGAGTCTAGTCTACACTCCTCGTGGGGGTTTCCTTTGTTGCCATGTTAAACTTTACTTCCCTTTCAAAATGAAATAAACCTCCGACGCCATGATTTTAGCCTTTCTAAAAGGCCAGCAACCCCCACGGTATTGTGTAAAAAATGCAACCAGGCACGGCTTGTTATTATAAGGTTCTGGTGTTACAGTGTTCTATTTGTACAAAGGCAACAACTGAGGGTGCGCAGAATACTACATTGGGGATATCTGATGCATCACTTGAACAACTCGAAACAATTAGCGTTTGTTTTTTTCTCCTCGGGGAGCGTGGGGGGCAGACAGTGGTCTGTATATCTTTTACACTCGTATAAAACAGTCGTGAAAAGTGTGACGAAGAGAACACCCTGTTTAAAATCGCAATCTCACAGTTTTGGAAAACTACAGGGATAATGTAAGATTCTGTTCTTTCTCAAATGGTTACAAGAGCAAGTCGTCTGCATATGATTTTAGAAAACAGTTTATTGAATACGCACACCCTTACGGTTGGCTCCTCAGGGAAGTTAAGTCCCACATTTAGACCCTCCTCCCATGGCTGGCAATAAAACGATTTTCCCATAGGAAAGTGCAGGGTGTATCCCCAGGTAGTCTTATAATTAAGAAAATTAATAAAAAAACAGCCATACTGTCGTACGTGCACAGATGGTGCTGGTACCGGATCGCGAAAAGTGCTCAAGCGCAAACTGATAACGGCCAGATATTGAATCACGTGACAACTTGGGCACAGAATAAAGGGCATCAGACGTTCAAGACTCATATTCTGCCAACAGACCCGGGAATTTTACATAGTTCAGTGCAGGTTTCCAGCGAGCGACTCTACTTGGGCTGTCGATTCTGCGTCATGTCTCTGTGGATACTCGGGGACGCATTTTTCCCCACATGGTCACTTTTTGTGGGTGCCATTTTGATCTTTTTGGTGTAAGTCTTTTAGTTCAAGAGCAAGAATTCTTAAACTACTCTTATTTGATGTGTTGCTGTTTTTGTTTCGTTTTTTGTGTGTGTTTTTTCTCACTTGAAACTAAACGGCTCCACATAATAAGTTATCCAGTGACGATTTATTGACAGTAGTGCATAAGAAGTCTTTTTCGAAGGCATCGATGCATTATGAGGTATCCTCGTGTTTATTTAATTCATGACCGCTTAATTATTTCGCTGATTAAGGTGGAAATCGTCATGGCCGGCAAAAATGATTGTCCTACTGTCTTATTCACCTTGAAAACGTTGCTCAACTCAGGAAATCTGTTTAGAGGAGCAGGTAATTGTTTGTAGGAAGAAAACCCAACGAGCAGCCACTTCCCCGCTCTCGATTCCATGCAAAAGATCTGGCAAAACGGAACCATATTCTGGCACACTAACATTTTAAGCACAAATCGGGAAAATTTGGGCCGTGGGATTTTGGAGAGTTGGATTTTGCTGACTTTGTAGATGTATGTCCAGGAGTTTGCTTGCTCTGTGACCATTCCATTTTAGGATTCCGTGTCGGCTGGAGCCTAGCCGACCACACTCGAATATGTAATAAAAATATCAACCTGGTACTTATATAAGGTGATATTGGAATCAGTTTTCTCATGTAGGCCCCTACATGAGGCCACCTCCTTGAGAGGTGCAAATTCATGCCTGTGAGTGGGTGGACAAAAGTGAGGGTGTATGTGGACAGCTATAGCTAATCCTGGAGCCTGGGAGGTATCACCAAAAAAACCTTTTCGCGACTTTTTTCGTGTGTAGCACTCGAAGACATTATGTATAAAATATATCGGTACACATTACTCTCATCTATGTGTATTATGTATTTGACAACAGGAAGAAATGGTAAACCCCGTCAAAATAAGTTAAAACGACTTCTACACGCATGCAGAGTCGGTGACATTTGAGACGGATCATCAAGTTGAGGGATTTTGTCTCGATTTTACTCGCTTCAGGGAAATGTTTTATTGAGGGTCCTGCAAGAAGCAGCCTAGAAATATTGACCCTCAGGATACAGACATCAGGGTCACCATGCCCAAGCCACTGAAGAAGCTTAATCACTTTTATCCACAGATATGACTGGTGGTGCCATCAGTATTTCCAGAGGTTGGGGATTCCTGTGGCCCCATATTACCCAATAATCGGTAATGTCCATGAATGGCTCACGGTAAGTGGAATAGATTATTCGACTAATAAACAGTTGAAATAATGCATTCAAGTTGTCTAGCAGGTCTGACTTGTATTAGTCTATCACAAAAGATCAGTGGTCAGTCTGATTGAAGCAAGCGCCGCTTGTACTTTGAGGTTGGTTTGAAGATAAATCAAAACTAAAACTTTGTGGTAATAAGGCCGCGGAATTTGATATGCAGACCCAGCAGTCAGAACTTATGTGACAAATTGCAACCGCGTGTCCTATTTTTAGCACGGGGCTTGACCTGCAAACAGTTCGGCAAACAATTCCAACTGGGTAAAAGATTCCCGAACAATAGCTGCTCATGTTTTTTTGTTTTTTTTTGTCTGTCTGTTTAGAAGTCAATAAAACATTTTTACGGTTCAAGATCAAAGTTTGGATTCCAATTTTGTGGACGTGATCTGCAATTGCACTAGGCGTGATAATGAATAGCATGGAACCCATTTATTCTGTTTTTATTATTTTTTTCCATGAAAACAAATTATAAAAGCTTTTTGTTTCCCCTCTTCAACATTGAAATCCATACATTTGTTGGAGCTAAATGGTACTGTATTAGCCTCAAGTAAGAATACAATTTTCAACCGTGGGACTTACAGGCTAAACGATTGCAAAGTTTAGACGGAATAGGAAAATAAAGGGTGCAGGGCTCAGATTTTCGAATTTTCTTTGCTGGTTTTAAGGTGCTATTTTTGTAATTGGTGAGTATATCAGTTACGGATTTTAAGTTGGTGTTTACGTTCATTTTTCAAGCTTAAAATTTGTTGAGAATTTCTTCTGTCTGTTTGGCCGACCATATTTTTGTTTAACATTTTTTCAAGTGTCCAGTCCACGTCTTGGTTCCTGACAGGTTGAGTCTGACAAAATTTTCCAATTGTTTAATGCAATATTGTGACTCTCTATTTTACGATGGCAATGGCTTGCATACCACAACGTTCGTCCCCTGGCGACAAACGATAATACATAACACAAAACACAGTCTTTCAAACAAAAGGCAAATCAATCAATTTGTATCACCACAGAATCAGTTCTCGCTTACTGTGAAACTTGTAGACTAGCGCTGTGGTAGACTCCACCCCTTTAAAGAGGGGGATTCAATGTGTTACCAATATAGTTTGCCTTGTTACAATAGCAAGCAATTTGTTCCTGAATTTAATTTTAAAAGAATTGGATATAAAAAATAAAAACTTTGACTAATAGCCGTGCTTCATTTGACTTACGCGCGTTAACGGTTCGAGACGAATTAGTCCTGAGTTGAACCCCCCCCCTTTTTGCCCACTGACATAAGAACTCATTTAATACCGACCATTTACCTTTTCAGGAGACAGGCCATTGTCAAGGTAGGAACTCCTCTTGCTGGGAGGTATTGTTTCGCAGTGTTAAAAAATTTTATAGACACGATATTTGGGGTCCAGGGTTTTCCAAAAGGGGGCCTGAGCTAAACTTTTAGGGTTGCGGCCATGGAGGCAGGGATACAGGAAACAAAACTATTGTTTTTTTACGCCGTTGTCACATTCATGTGGCTGGATTCCTCCCTCCCCTTCCCTCTTTTTTCCCTCTTGTTATTTAGGGCCTATTTATTTTTGGTGGGGGGACTGTGCCCCCACCCACCCACCCCCCCGGACCCGTCTCTACTGCTTGCAGCTGTCAAGTCCCATCCACCTCCATCCAAAAGGCGTCAATGACTCCCCACCAAATGTTTATTGTTCATGTGGGTCTAGTACCGGGTAGGCTCTAGCTGAATACCAATTGGTTTCTACACGACGGGAATGGGAGGCTCTCCAAACCACTTGATGCACTGTATGTAGCATGTGCAGCAAGGTATGAGACGGAGAGAACCCCCCCCCGCTTTGTGTTGGTCATTGTCTGGCAGGAATCTGGGGAATTCCTTTCAGACATTTTGGGGGGGGATGTGTTAAGTAACAATAGTCTGGAA